CACCGAGTTGATTTCAACTCATCGTGACCCTCTAGGACAGAGTCGCTCTGTCCCTGTGGTTTCCAAGACTGTAACTCTTTGCACGAGTAGAAAGGCTTGTCTTCCTCCTGAGGTGTGGCTGGGTTTCCAACTATTGGCCTTAGAGTGAGCAGCCCACTACAGAATCACTAGGCCACCAGGGCTCCTCTTTCAGCCCTACGGCAGTGGATTAGAGTTCCAGTCTTTCCACACCCTTGTCATCATTTGCTGTTTTATGTATTTTTGAACTTTGCTACTGATGCTGAAGTAAGATGATATCTCATTGTCACTTTGATTTGATTTGTACTAGCATCTCTCGAGTTGCTGATGATCAAACTCATCCCGTCCTATGTGTGTTGGCTGCCTGAGTGTCTTCTTTCGTGATGTCTGTTCATGTCCATAAGTGTTGTCCAACTAAACGAATTCACCTCACTTCCATGCCTTTGCCATTGCACAGCTTTCCCTTGTTCCCTTAGACCTAGAACGCCAACATAAGCACACTGGAAGAAAGGGGTCAGACATTCAGAAAGAAAAATTCATCCTTCCCTGCCCCCGGCTGTATTGGTACCATGGCGGTTAGCAGTGTTTCCCATGTGGCCTCACGCATTGAGAAGCATCACAGCGGTGATGATGAAACAGGTGCCTCTCAAATGGCAAACTCACTGCCATCAAGTCGATTCCAACTCAGGCTGGAAGCTGGGCATCTCACGCTCATACAAAATAGAATGATCTGTGTACTATAAAGTTTTATTGCTATTTTTATTTGGGGAAATTAAAGAATACAGAATAAAGGCTTGGTTAACGCACCAACAGCTGATTGAAAAGTCACTGGCCAAACCCACCAGCTGCTCCAAGAGCAAAAGATGTGGCCATCTGTCTCCCTAAGGATTACTGTCTGGGAAACCCTCTGGGGCAGTACTGCTCCGTCCTACAGGATGATTAGTCTGAAGTGACACAAGAACAACAGATATAGGAAGAATAGAAGAGGGTACCCCCCCAAAAAATATCTATTTCCCCCCAAAACTATGTTTTTACATATTTTTTACAAAACAACCTTATCACCTTCAAAGTACTCTCCACTACACTTAATACATCTGTCAAATCTGCGCTTCCATTCTCAGAAATTTTTCTAACTCCTCTGATTGGATGGCTGACAGCACCTCCCTCATTTTTTTCTTCACCTCTTCTACTTCATCAAATCGCTGTCATTTCATGCCCCTCTTCATTCATGGAACCGAAAAGAAGTTGCACAGTGAGGTCAGATGAGTCGGATGCATGGAGCAAGAGAGGCATGCTGTATTTTGCCAAAAACTGGTGCGCTGAGATGGCTGCGTGAGCAGGCGCATTGTCGTGGTGGCAAAAGCAGTCCCCCATGTGCCACAAATCAGGCCTTTTTTGTGGCACACTGTTACACGATCTTTTCAGAACCTCTAAATAGAAAGCTTGATTAGCAGTCCGACCTGGTAGAATGAACTCCAAATGCATAAGTTGGCATTTTCATACATTCAGGAAGTTGATGGACATCCAAAATGAGGTTTGTCATCAATCAACATTGCACCTTTTTGCAAGGAAAAACCACTCGTACACTTAAGTTTTTCCCATAGTGCTGTCCTTGTAAGCTGTGCTCAACTTCACAACAGTTTCTGCATTATTCTTACTGAGCAAGAAACGGAATTTCACAGCTGAATACTGTTCTCTTAAATTGGCCATCACAAAAAACGAGGTTTGAGCAAAACTGCTTTTATGAAAAAATTCACTGTGACCAGAGAGAACCTTCCCAGGTGACACACTGGGTGCACTAACTCAGAGCGAGTTGCTTGATGCTTGTCTAGCGGGAAAAATAAGTACTATGAAAGCTCCACTCCTCCCAGTGCAATTCTGGCTTTTTTTTGGGGGGGGGTACCCCCCTCATACAATAACACTTGTCCACCCACCTGAACTGATTATTGTCACATTGGCTTCATCTTAATTTCATTTAACAAAAAGGAGCATCAATGATGGTATTGAAGTGTTCTGTGTTACATCCTCTTTGTCTCTTTGGTTTCTCCTGCCCAGAGGCAGGAATTAAGTTTGTGCCATTCCCATCCACTGTTGTACTGTCGTAAGCACATAAAGGAAATCCCATTTTGCCCAGACTTTTAACGAGTTCAGGTGGGGAAATGGCTTTACCTTTCCAACTTAATGACCCAGCTAATGATTTGCATTCAACGACTAACCAAGAAATGTTGGCAGTTCCACCCCTTACTCAAACCCACCTACTCACCCACCCACCCCACTCTCACTCCCAGCCCCAGCCACACTCCTACCAGTGATGCCTGGGGAAAAGGACCTGGTGATATGTTTCTGAACCAGGACACCTGTGGACACCTAGTGCAGCCGTTCTACTCTATAGGGCTCTGTTTTGAACCAGGACACCTGTGGACACCTAGTGCAGCCGTTCTACTCCATAAGGCTGCTGTGAGTTGAAATCAATTCAATGGCAACACGTTTGGCTTTGTAGTTTCAAACACAAAAATTCTCTACCCATAATATTCTCTGTAAACCCACTTGGCATCTAATTATTTAAAATTCTCTGAGTAAATCAAGGCCCCTCACTTTTTAAGCCAAATTTGGGCTCACGGGAAGGCATCCTGGTGGCACGGCGTTCAAGCACAGGGCTGCGAAGCGGAAGTGTAGTTGTTTAACCCCAGCAGCCACTCCACAGGGGAAAATGTGGCAGTCTGCTTCCATAGAGATTTAAAAATACATTTTTAAAACCCTCTCTGCCATTCAGATGCCAACTTATAGCAGACTTATAGGGCACGTTAGAACTGCCCCTGTGGGGTTCCAAACGGTAACTCTGTCTGAGAGTAGAAAGCCTTGTCTGTCCTCTCAGGGCAGCTGGTGGTTTCAAACTGCTGACCTTGCCATTCGTAGCCCAACCTGTAACCACTCTGCCACCACAGCCCCTTCCATAGAGCGCACAGCCTGAAGGAGCCTGCAGGGACTGTTCTCCGCAGGGTCTGCTTAGGTGTCTGTAATTCAGATCAACTGCTGCCATGTTTGGGCCCGGGGTCTTCATCCACAGAGGGCCGGGTGCCCTCCCTGCAGGCCTGTGCTGAGTGCTGTCGAAGGGGTGGCCTTTCACATTTGCGAGCGCTAAGGGGGAGGTGATAGCTCTCAGGGATCAGGTTTCAAGTCCAGCCCCAGTTTTCATGTGTGTGGGAACGGACAAAAAGGAAAACACAGCTGAGCAGCATTGTAGCTCTTCCTGTTGAACCTGTTCACGTCCAGGGCTGAGGAAGGCTGGGTCGAAGCTCCCCCAGCAACAGCCTCCCGTGAACTCTATGCCTGAATTCAAAGCCTTGCTCTTCCCAGGAAGCCTCCTCGGAGCCCAGACTGCACCCAGTGGAAAATGGCTCTGGTTTCTGGGGAAACCTGTGAGTGAGAACTTTGCTCTCTGCTCTCCCGCCGACCTGGAGCAGGGCTGGGAGGTGCCACCAGCCGGCTGGGCTGCTGATGTCAGCCGCGTGTCAGCTGTGGGAGGCTTGGTTTGTGAAACCGAGTTACACCTAAGTGTCTTATGAAACTCCTGCTCAGAATTCACCAGAGCAGCCACCGGGCGGGGGGCAGTGGAAGGCACCCAGGGGGTTCCCCTCGCATTTCAGTTCCCACTTGGGAACCTGTGGATTTAAAGGAATGGAAGCCTGAAGACCGTGGACATTTTGGGAAATCGGTATGTAGCTGTGTGCTTTCACTCACTCCTCTTTGAACTTGTGTGAATGTTGCAGCCACAGACAGCTGCGGGTCAGGCCCGCGGGGGCTGTGTTCTGAGCACGGCTCGTTTATTTTACTCGGTTTGGCTTGGGGGCTCTGTCCGAGCAGTTTTTGTTCATGGCATGCACACAGGAACCTGCAGTGCCTTCAGCTCCCGTACAGGTACGGGCCGTCTCCACGTTTGTGAAAAGTCTTGGTGTCCGGACTCCAGGAAATGGCTTTGCTGATAGTGCTTGCAGGAGGGTTCTTTAGTCTCGTCCAAGCTGCTGGGAAATCATTCCTATTTCGATGACAAGCATGCTCCTTTAGGAGTCTTTGCGTCCAGCCAGTGTCTGGGAGTGCAGGGAAGTGGCTGAGCAGTGATTCCCTCATCCTCAGGGCTGGGACAAGAGGAATTCAACTCTCAAGTCCAAGTTGAGAAGAACAAGTTGAGGCTTAGGCTAACACAAGATCTAACATGAGGGATTGAGAAAGACCCTTGAAGTCCTGCACTGCTTATTCAGTTCTGTGAATGAGCTGTCAGCCTTTCAGATGCATGTTGCTCATAAGCCCGGTTTCTCCCCGACCAAGTGGCAAAAACCACTGAGCATAGCGCTGGAATGTACAACAATGGATTCTATTTGGGAATGCCAGGGCTCTAGCTTAGAATGGAAGTGGGCACCACCAACCTGGCCCCCCCGCCCCTGTCTTTCCCCCATTTCCTATTCCTGGGTTCTTGTGGCTAGAAGGGAAGCTGGTGTAGGTGGGGAAACCGAGAAGCACCTCCAAACTTGGGCTTCCTTTTTACTTTCACTTTATTATTTTTTTAAACCTTATCTCTGGCTTTACTGAAACACCTCTTTGAATATTTTTCCATTTAAATGTGAAACCAACCGATCGGAGGAGAAGACATGCGTTTACGGGAATCTGCTAGCATTTTGCTGCTCACTCTTTTCCTGAGTTGAGTCAAAGGAAAATAGTCTGTATGTTCCACTATACGGTGCAAGGAAGATGGACTGGTGAGAGAAAGCGTAATAGTTACGGTCAGGGGGGAGAAAAAAGAACGAACATGTTTCCGGTTGTAGTTAATGTGTAAAAAGACTGAGTCACGTATTTGTGCTTGGAATCTTATTGGCACAAGCCTTCCTGGGAACTTAAAAGCATTTGGCAATGAAGTCGATCCATCCGTTTAGAAAATGAAGCATAATTAAAGCTCAGTGGCATTTCTGTCTTCTTCCCTTTTTTAGTTATTCCAATGGAAACAGCTGGAGAACTTATATTTCCGTGAGAAGAAATTTGCCGTTGAAGTTCACGATCCACGAAGGTGAGGGGCACAGCGTTTGCTCGGTGTGGTCCCGGGGCATGGTGGAGAGCGCTGCTAAGCACGTGTGTGCTCAGGTGTCTGCGCGCGTATGCATTCGCTTCTCGTGGCCAGCTGCCCAGGAGCAGACTTGCTGGGCCGTGTGGTCACTCTCAGGGTAGCCTTTGAGAAGCGCTCGTATTGCTTTCCAGAGTGGCTCCCCCATTCTGCTTTCCCCCAGCTCTGTCTGAGGCGCTCAAGTTCTCCACACCCCACAGTCAATTATAGCTTTTGGAGTAAGTGTGCAGTGGAATCTCAGTGGTTTTCATTTGCATTTCCCTCCCAACTAATGATGCTGAACCTCTTTTTGTGTCCTCGTTGGCCCTTTGGGTATATATCTTCTTTAGGGAGATGTCTATTCAGAGCCTTATTTTAAAGTTCAGTCGTTTTGGTCACTGTAAAGAGTTCCTGGGTAGTGTAAACAGTTAACTTACTCAGCTGCTAGCCAAAGGTTAGAGGTTCGAATCCACCCAGAGGTACCTCAGAAGAAAGTTCTAGTGACCTACTTCTGAAAAATCAGCCATCGGAAACCCTACGGAGCACGGTTCTACTCTGACACGCAGGGTGGTCGTGAGCCACATTCAATTCGGCAGTCAGTGATTTCACGACTAGTAACCAATTTGGGTCACTTTGAAAAAAGTAGTGGCCAGTTTATGAATGCAAATTGAGGTCTAGGTTCTCACAAGAAATTCTTTTTCAACCTGAGTGCTTGTTTTTGATCCAAAGATATACTTAACAATATTTGGAGATCACAGCTATGTCAAAAGGAGGCTCAATGAGACAAGGAAGTTCTAACAAAATACATTAGTTCTCTTCAACACACACACACCTGCCCCTTGTCTATCTGCCCCTGACTCTACACTTCCCTGTCCCCTCCAAATCCCCTCTCCCAGTCTCCTGTCTCTTCTTCTCCTCTGGGTGCAAGCAACACTTTGGACCAATTGTGGACTTGTGTATTTTCAGATAGCATTACTCCGTTCATGCTCTGATCTTGTCAGTCCTTCAAATGCACCTAGATCAAAAATGCCGTGAAAAACCTGTCAGTCCCACGGGTCTTGACTGTGCTGTCTGTAAAACACCTTCAGCTTTATTCCTTACAACTGTGCGTCTTTTGGTTTCTTTTTTTTTTTCAGAGAGCAGCAATTTTTTATTTTATTTTATTTTTTTAACATTTTATTAGGGGCTCATACAACTGTTATCCCAATCCATACACACATCAATTGTGTAAAGCGCATTTGTACATCGTTTCTCAACGTCTTTTGGTTTCTAACTCAATCACTTTTAGTACGACGTCTCATTTGGCAACTTCCTTACCTGCTTTGCGGGGAGAGGGAAAGTGGATATTTTATATCCCAGCTTCTACAGAAAGACAGCTTCGGGGTTATGACTGAGGCTGTCATAAGTGGAGAAAAGGAGAAGCTTGGGTCTTGCCAGCTTGAGACGGAATGCAGCAGGAAGACAAAGAAGAAGACGATGCTTTGTTCCACCTTATGCCCTGGGTCCGTTTTGTTTTGTATGGGGCCAGAGGCAAATAATTTGAGTGCTTTTCTTAATCTTTCAGGATTTCAGTGTCAAGAAGGACTTTTGGGCAAAGTGGCCTCTTTGTGCAAACATGGTATGCAAACTCCTCTCTCATCAAGTCCATCTGGGTAATGGCCATTAGTCAGCATCAGTTTTACTTGGACCGGAAGCAAAGCAAAGTAAGTGACCAAACGCAGTAACTGCAAGGACAAATTCATTTGCTTTCTCTTTGGAAGATAAGCTTTCTAAAAAAAACACAAAAACAGATGCTAACACTTGGATATTTGTTGTGTGTCTGTGTGTGTGTTTCATTCTGCCACCAAATGTGTTCCTGTTCTGTACATTTAAAGGGTGGGCTCTGTGAGCTGGGTCGGCTTGTGGGTATATGTGTGTAAGCTGGTGGTATTACTGGCGACATTTAAAGTCAGTGACAAAAGCATGCCGTGAGAGAAATCATGCATAGCTATTAAGAATGTTTTAGCTGCGTGAATGACAGTGAGAACCCAAAATCCGTGTGCAGAGTCATAAGTCTGCATGATCTCGTCTCTGGTGAATCTCCTCTGACCACGGACCAGGGTTGTGGACGGCCTTGCTGTCCCCAGAGAACACTGGAAAGTCCATCTTACAGATGCAGTTAGGTTAAACTTTAACCCCTGATCCTTTGTTCTCCCTTTTGACCCATTTTAAGTGTGTTCTAGTTTTTATGCTTTTGTGGTGGTGGGGGGGGGATGGGGGGATAAGAATATTTCAGCTGTAAACTTTAAGTCTTGTGGGATTTCCCCACCTCCTAAACCTTAATGTATAAAAACTTACATTATCACCCTGGCCAATATTTTAATTCTATATTAGCTATACTCTTTTGTTTGGGATAATTTGAAGAGTTCATTTTGTTTTTCTGTTTCAATGTTTGCCTTTTAGGCCAAAATTCCCTCCGCCCGGAGTTTAGACGATATTGCCATGGATTTGACGGCGACGGGGACACCAAGGGGCTCCAAATTGGTGACCCTGGAGGGGAAGGGTCAGTTCATCATGGCCAGCAATGGCAGTTTAATCTCCTCAGGTAAGACTGGGTGGGAAGGAGGTGGGGGCATTAAAAAGAAGTACAAGACATCTTTATTTTGCTTTTTTAAATGTTTTTTTTTTTTTGTCATAAGATTCCTACTCCACCCCCCTTATTTTTAAGTTGCAGTACATATACAAGTGGGCATCCAGAAGTTTGTGGAATTAGAAGATAATGGGGTTTTCTAATGTTTGCCATTTCTCCTTCCTCCTATGGACAATGCTAGGACCTTAGTTGTGTTCGCCGTGTTGCACAGCTATTACACATAAACCACTTTTTATCTTTTAGTCCATTGCTTAGGAATTAGTAAGTATATTAAAACCTATCGGGTGCTGTAGTTTTGAACAATTTTATAAAGAGTGAAAAGAAAGCTGAATTAGACGTAGTCAGAATGTAGAAGTAGCATTAGATGCAATGATGCGTATATTTTTTGAGCAAGCAAAATACTGATTTACTTCCACAAGCTTTGAGTTTTCTAGAGCATGTTTGTTTGTTTGTTTGTTTTCACTGTTTTATTGGCACAGGATTTATATATCATACAATTCGAGGGTTGAATCATTCAACCGGATCAAGGAGAATTGTCCAATAATCACCACATCAACTTTAAAACCCCTCCCCGCACGATTGAAATGCCCCTAAAATGAGTTGTGCAACCACAGCCCATTCTAGTGCTCTCTACCTAGATGCAGTGATATTGAATGTCCAGGGGTGGCTCTGACAGGGACACTGGTTCCATGCCCTCTCCCAATAAGTTCCATCAACTTCCCCCATCTGTGTCCTTGTTGGGTTGTTGTTGCTTGGGGGGGCGTCTCATTATACATTTAGTATAATACACTATGCATACATGATGGAAAGCTTCCCTCCCCTCAAGATGTGATTGCTGCCATCCAAGTACTCCCCTCAAGAGCTTCTAGAATCCTTCTTCACGATGAATATTTCACTTTACTCAAATGAAGTTTCCCATCTACCTCTCATTGTCCATTTATGAATCTGCTGTATAGCTTTCCGTTGTACAGAACGGACCATTGCCTTGCTTGGCTGCTTTCTAAAAGCATTTTTAACAATTATCTCAAGGAAATCATACTCTTTTTCCTGCTCAGAAAGAAAGGGGAAAAAAATTCCTGGTCTATCTGAAGCAGTATTTTATCGCACTGCTTCCAAAAGAGACGGAGCCCAAAAGGCAAATGGCACATTTTATTACCAGGCTCTGTTTGATGCCCAGAAGTATGAGAAAATGTTCTCCAGTTTCCTTTGATTATGTTCAGAAACAAGAAGAGAAGAAGTAGTAAACTACCATTGAATAGCTGGTTTTGCCCTAAAGGCCCTTTGTCTTGAGAAAAGGAAGGAAACGTGCCTTGTATAGCCCTGCCCTGTTCACCCGCCCCTCCCCCAGGTTCCCAAGACTCCGAGGTCAGTGAGGAGCAGAAGAGAGAGAAAATCCTGGAACTGAAGAAGAAGGAAAAGCTGCTGCAGGAGAAGCTCCTACAGAAGGTGGAGGAGCTCAAGAAGATCTGTCTGCGGGAGGCGGTGAGTGTGGCCCTCGTGCGCCTCTTCGGCTTCTTCCAACTGGGTGTCAGCCGGCTGGCCGGGGACATGGATCCCTCTCAACGCGGCCCTGTTTTACAGGAGCTCACTGGCAAAATGCCGAAGGAGTACCCTCTGAATGTTGGGGAGAAGCCGCCGCAGGTCAGAAGGCGGATAGGCACCGCGTTCAAGTTGGACGACAACTTGCTGCCGAGTGAAGAGGTGGGCGAGCTGCCGGTTGAGTGGGGCTGATGGCCGAGGGGTCAAGGGGTCTTTTGGGTGTTTGAGCCATTGCTGTATATTTTGTATCCTCCCAGTCAAAATAGTGAGTTAGACCAGAGTGATGCCTCTCTTGTGTGTGTGCGCACCCACTGCCTCTGCCCCCACCCCACCCCAACACATGGAGAACGTTACCCAACCACGGGACCTCCACAGAGGGAAAGCTGTATTCTTGGGCTTTTACATGGAAAACTAAGTAGCCTTTGGCAAGTCGCGTACATCTCCAACGCTTTCTCTCACTTAGTCTTCCCTCCGCTGAAAAATGAAGGCCGGGACTCTTATTTCCCTGTAAGGGATGTCATCCGCATTCAATGAGATAATGCGTGTACAGCAAGCAGCTCTGAATGATGCCGAAAGATTTGGTAGCCCATATTCTACTCTGAGGTCATGAAACGATGGGACTTCTCCCTGGGTTCTTTCGGGAAAGTTAACAATCTTAGTTGTAGAAAAACAAAAGCTGTTCATTGAGTGCTTGCTAGATTGCAAGATAGAGCTAAGCCATGCACATCTGCTAGCTCATTTAACTTTCAGCGCTTTTACGAAGTGGGTATTATTTTTCTTTTTAAAATGGGGTGGGGAGGAAAACCCCACCCCGGAGGCACTAAGCAATTACGCAGGGTGCCCTAGCCCACACAACCAGGAACCGCCAGGGAGACAGAGCAGGCCAAATGTGTTTGTCTCAAAAGAGCTCCGTATGAACATAACATCTGAGTATAACCGTCCACATTTACGAGCCTTGAGTCTTGAATCTCTTCTTGGAAAATAAATAGGATGGTCACCTAGCCTGCTGAAGGAAGGCAAAGCCATCCCATTCCTTGAAAAGAGAAGACCCCAAACACCCACTCTCACTGCCATCCAGTCGAGTCGGACTCACAGCGGCCCGTAGGACAGGGTGGAACTTCCCCTGTGAGACTCCGATACTGTGCTCTTGACGGGAGTCCAAAGCCTCGTCTTTCTCCCAAGGATCAGCTAGCTGGTGGTTTCAAGCTGCCGACCTTGAGATTAGCAGCCCTCCGCACGACTGACATGCCAACAGGACTCTGAAAAGAGAAAAGGCATGGCCTAATGAAAAGTTCAAATAAGGTGGACAAGGCAGGTCTTATGTTCTAGAAAATGTGTAAGAATACCTTTGTGGAGAAATTTGGATTTTATTTTCAAAGACTATCTGATTCAAGAATGTACTAGAAATGATGTTTATTTACCAATGCCTAGGAGCGTGATAATATATATGTTCACAAAACTACAACAACACGATTAATCATGTATACGCAGGATCCTGCTTTGCAAGAACTGGAGAGCAACTTCCTAATACAACAAAAGCTAGTGGAGGCTGCAAAGAAACTTGCCAGTGAGGCAGACCTGTGTAAAACGGTGAAGAAAAAGCGAAAGCAAGACTACACGGAAGCCGTGAGAAAGCTTCAGGAGATTGAGAGCGCCATAAATGAATACCGGATTCGCTGTGGAAAGAAGCCCAGCCAGAAGGCAACAGTTCTCCTCCCGGGTGCGTAACATGTCATGTTTTTGAGTAAAGTAGTCAGTGCTCCGGAGGGCGGTGCACTACCAAGCCTCTTCATTTGGTGAGGGATGAGGTGGGAGACGGGACGGGGAAAGCTTCAGAGGATAGCCATGGTTTGGGATTCGGGTCTGAGATGTTTTCAAATTTCATTTCTAGTGAGAGGCTCCCCATGAAAGTATCATATGAGAGCCATTGTATTACTTTCTTTTTCAGGAGGAAAGCGTATACACAGATACCTTGGTTCATAAGATAGACAAACCCTGAACTGGCCTGATGGCTTTGCATGAAATGCCTTTGTCAACACAGTCTATTAGAGAGGGGGTTTCTGAAAGGTGTTTAGGTTTTTAATGCGGCAGATCATGCATTTTTTCTTAAGGGCCTCACAACAAATAAGTGTGTAGAGAAGTTCTCTCAGAATTATTATCATTATTGGAGACTATATAAAGATGATACTGTCCACTGTTCAGGATGCAAAGTAGTACCCACCACCTGATCCTAACTTTGTGGAACATGCACGCATTAAGCCTGCTTAGGAAATACGTAAAATATTAGTAATGGTAGAAATTCACATCTTAAAGTTTTCTTCTCATGTTATTTAAATTTTAATTGAATCATTTGATTTTCTTCTTAGTCCTCCTATGTTTGCTTCATTCTCAGCACTATGCATCTATTACTTTCATATTCAGAGAAGAGGCAATCTTAGAAGCATCACTTAGATAACCTCAAGTCCGATAGACCTTATACACCATTGAAAACACCATGTAGATGGATTCCAGGGCCCCTTGGCCCTGCACCGTTAATGGCACCATGTTTAGCCGTGACCTTTGACTGAAATGTGGTTGTCTTTTCTTGATTTCATAACTATTCTTTCATATTTTAACATCTGGGAAACTGAGATATTTCTTATACTGGGAGGTATCTTACAACTATAATAGAGACTTTTCTTGTTTTACTGGGACCTGAAACATTGAACATTTTCTAGCAATGGCATGAAATGTCACTGGGTTTAAAGTACACTGAAGTCTTAGACATGATTTACAAAGCAGAGATAGAGCACTGGACTTGTAAATGTGCTCCTGAACCTCCCTGCAGGTCTGGAGCTGAGCTCACCCTGTGGCTTCCTTATCGGCCAAATGGGTCTCTACGGGAACAATAGCACCTCAGAACAATCAGCCATTTGAGACCAAGGAGACGAAGTTCACAAGGGTTGGGAGAGGAGGGGAGGAGGCAGAAAGTACAAGGAGGAAGCAGGAGGAGTGACGTTTCTTTGCAGGAACTGCAATGAAGGAGATGAAGCAAAATGTGTATGAACTTTTGAATGTCAAACGGACAAGCTGCGCTGTAAACCTTCACAATAACAAATTTTTAATTAAAAAAAGGGTAAAATAAATGCACAGATGTAGAAAAAAAGGGGGGGGGTAAAATAAATGAGCCAGAAGTAGTAGCCAACTATAATTGGAGAATTCAGAGTGGCTTTGGCCCCCAATGAGAGCTCCAGTTGGCCTTGGCGGTGGTCACCTACAAAAGTGGGTGATTAATCATACACTTGACTTTCATGGTCAGTTGTTATGGCCCATTCATCCCCAAACGGTGCAGGACTCAAGTGTTCTCCTTCCCGGTGGCTGACATTTGAGCAGCAGACGGCGTCAATGACTGAGCATATATTGGAAAGATAATATGCTTGACGGCTGAATGGACCGGCACCTTGCCTCCCAAGTTCCACCAGGTGCCTAAATGAAGAGGGTCTTCCAGCTCCAGCAAGCATTTTAAGGTTTAAAATGGATGGAGAGTCCCCTTCCTAATGACTGAGAAGCTATATTGAGGGTTCCTGTTTGCTTCTAGCACTGCGCTTGCCCCGGACCCTGAGTATGGACTGATTTGCCAAAGCCGATCAGCACATCTGGGATGTGTCTTTTTATGAGTTACCATTTGATGGATACCAGTATTATTTACTGGATAGGGGTAATAAAAGTCAGTAGTGTAGCTCGCACATATGGAGCATTCTTCCTGTGCCGGGAGCTGGGCTGAGGGAGATCATGCATTATTTCATCGACTACTCACCTCAGTGACATGCACTTCAGGGTTACATTTCTCCCTGTGTTAGAGTTGAGCCAAATGATGGGTAGGAGGTTGATGCCGATTCCTAGTCGGTGGCGGCTGGAGATGGTGCTGAACCACTTAGTATGTTCAGGATACCAGCCCCAACTGACCCCAGTCTAGATGGCAAAAGTGCCACTACTGACTACAATTGGAAGTTAACCTTTTTTTTTAATGCCACAATTGAGGAACTCTAATCTAATTCAAAAAGTCCATCGGCCACAAAAGTCCCCACACTCTTAAGAGGAAAAGGCCTTTCTTTACTTCAGGGAGGGGTCAAAAATAAGTGTAGTCCCAGTAAATTCTCACAAAGTCTCAATGTGTGTAGCATAATCGTTAGCCTTTATGACACAACCGCATTTCTCATTCCATATTGTGGGTTATGAGCACTCATGAGAAGAGGGTAGATCACTGTCCAGTGGAGAAGCCAGGCAGAAAACGGATTTAATTTAAAACTCCCTTGGTGCTGATTCCATGGTAGGAAAATAAGCCCAATGTAAAACTTGGACAATATAGAAAATGCGCGTATCTTCAATAACGTGAATAAATTTCTTCTAATCGCTAATCATGCTTAATGTACTATAAATAATTGCATCGTCTCTGGTTCAAAACCAACTCCGCTCCATTGAGAATTGCTCCATACATTACACTCACTGTGGGGCGCAGTGGTTCTGAGATGGTTCTTTTCGTTCACAGAAGACATCATCCCGTCCGAGAGTAGCTCCCTGTCTGACACCACCACCTATGATGATCGTAAGTGGCTCCCCTTGTCATTGGGAACGTGTTAGATGTTCTGAAATCGAAAGGATTTTTATTACGCAAAACCTACATCTGCTTTTTCTGAAAAGCGGAACCCTCTAGCTTCTCTTTATGAAAAACAATAGAGGCATTATCCTTGCCATCTATTCAGGTTAACTCGGCACTAACCTACCAAACCTCAAAAGCCACTGCCAGGGAGTCAGTGCCGAGCTAGAGCACCTCTATGGAGCAGAGTGCGACTGCCCTCTGAGTTCCCTAGATGACATCTGTACGGGACCAACAGCCTTTCTCCCCAGAGTGCTGGGTCCAAACCGCTGCCTTGTCCTTAGCAGCTCAGTGCCTACCCGCCAGGCCAGCAGGCTCCCCACATTCACAGACTGAACCATAGAAAACACATGATTTTAAGGAATGAGAATACGAATATGAGGAAATCAGTCTCTCTACAGGGATACCAGCCCCGACCCGAACCCAGCAAAGAATTTATAAGACTTCTCTGCCTTTCAAGTAAGGGGATATCTATAAAATGTGATCGTTTTTTTGTTTTAAGAGCTCAAAAAAGGCCACTGACCCCATCCAACTATCCCAGTCCCCTCCTCCATTAAGTTTTATGGTACCCCAAAGTCCACCATTCTTCTTTTGAGCCAAGGTTTGGTCATGCTTGCCATTCCCCTTTGAAAAGGAGAGTAAGAAGACGCTAATGACTTGGCATTCCTTTCTAGCTTCAGCATGTTCAGTGACAGAATAAGCCTTTGAGGAGCCGGAGAGGCCGACAGGGAGCAAAACTAACCCAGGCAGGGCACACATTCGGGCCAACCTTCACAAGGCCCATAATACATTAGGAAAATTTTTTAAATAGAACTTTGTAAAAAATACTTTATCATCACTTCCATGAGAGTGGTTTCTTAGCTCAGGTTGACACCTCTTGAATTGGCAACGGTTGAATCATATCCTTTTTTCTAACATATAAAACTTAAAAATTAATCTCCTCAAGGTTATGTACTTCTAAATGCATTATCTTTGGAAGAACCCTTTGTTGACCAGGTCTTCTCGTTTCATTTTTTGAGGTATTAGCAAGATACTTATTTATGCCTTTGGTTACCTACTTACTGATTTATACTCATGCATTCATTTGCTTATTACAGCCAACGACTCCTTTACTCTGGCTGGCCAGCGATCAAGTTCAGTCCCTCATTCTCCAAGGATTCTTCCCCCCAAGTCTCTCGGCATTGAGCGAATCCATTTCAGAAAACCGTCCATCAATGAACAGTTTGTGGACACCAGGCAGTCCAGGTAAGAGGTTACACTGTCAGCCAGGCCCATGACTGGACAGTCTTAACACTTGTCTCCAAAAGAGGTGACCACATTCTAGAAATATTTTCCTTATCTTTACAGAAGGTGTTATCTTGCTCATTCTACTTAGGAACAAGTTGAAGCTTAAAAACTCAAGCCACTTGTTGACAGCAAGTGGAGGTGTTTTTAAGAAATCTTTTTAAAATAAACATTTGGGTGTTTCCTTGTTTCTAAAGTCCATTTGGTGTGTGTGAGAATTCAGTGTGAGGACCTTCATTATAATCAAGATTTGAGTTCAGTGTCCAGAATTCATTTCCTGAACCACGCTTTAACGAGAGTCTTTAAGTATTGCTCTGCTAAATCTAGTGACAGGACTAACATCTGATCCGACACATGAACATGGATGAAATCCTTAAAAGCGTTTTTCCCTCTCCCTTCCTATTTATGCTCAGAGAGTCAGACTACACACAGGCATATTTCATGGAATTACGTGTAGCCCACAGCTTTTTTGACAAATTGAACAGGTTTGGGCAGCCCTGGGGGAGCGAGTCCGTTGGCATCATTTTCCCAACAGCATGTGTTCCTTTCCTGTCTTTTGGTCACATTTTGATAATTCTCACAATATTTCAAACCTTCTCATAATGCAGTTGCGTACCTCATAGCCTATAAACCAAGCCAAACCCACCGCCATCAAGTTGATTCCAACATGGTGACCCTACCGAGGTTTTCTGATCTGGTAGCTCTTGGCAGGAGCAGGTAGCTTCCTCTTGATCCCACCGAACAGCTGGTGAACTTGAACCCCTGGGTAGCAGTCCAGTGCTTAGCAGCCTCGCGTCTGTGTGCGCTGGGAAACCGAAAAAGTCTACCTGGTGGTTTTATCTCCATGTCTGCTTTATTGTGGTGACCTGGAGCCCAGCCCTCAGTATCTCGGAGGACTGTCTGTGCGTTTCTCTTAAAACTCGTCTAGGACCCACCCAGATGGGAAACCACAAAGACACCCTGCCCTTCTCTCTCTCTCTCTGCTCCCTGTCCTTCAGGTCCCCGTAAATGGCCTACTCTCTTATGACAAGTGTGCCAGAGATGTTGGGAAGCTTATTATATCCTGAATTCCTCTTTTTTATCTCCGCAGAGAAATGCTGTCGACCCACAGTAGCCCTTACAGAACTCTGGAGAGGCGGCCGCAGGGCGGACGAAGCATGCCCACCACGCCGGTCCTCACCCGCAACGCCTACAGCAGCAGCCACTTAGAGTAAGGACGCTTCGTTCCGTTGCTTTGGTGCTCCTGACTGCGGGGTGGAGGTTCTGTCTTATTCTTGCTGTGTTTTCCAATCATGTTAAGTGACTGCTCTGCGTCTGACTCTATTTGGTGGATCTACATTTTGGGCCAGTTTAGTTTCAAATAGTAGCAGCCGAGAAAATGTAGAGTTACCTGTTGGATATCTTGGCTTTCATCCCCCTAACCGGAGACCACGATTCCCTTCTCGGGAAAAGGTGAAATTCATTGTTCTAGGGTAATGATGAGGATACTGATGACAGCAGCCTTTTGAATTGTCTAGTGAGGTTGGTGGCACAGTGGGTTACACATTGAACTGGTAACCACAAGGTCAGTGGTTTGAACCACTCCACAAGAGAGAGATGAGACTGTCTACTCCTATGAAGATATAACGGCTTGGAAACCCAAAGGAGCAGTTCTACTCTGTCCTAGAAGGTCGCTATGAGCTGGAATTGATTCGATGGAGCCTGGTGCCATAGGTGGTTATAAGTTTGGCAATTCAAACCTGCCAGCCACCCTGAGGGAGAAAGAGGAGGCTGTCTGCTCCCATAAAGACTTACTATCTCAGAAACCCAGAGGGGCAGTTCTCCTCTGTCCTGTAGGGTCCCTGGGAGTGAGCATCCACTCTCGTTGTCTAAGTGAGAGCTGGCCCTGCACTCAATCTTTAGAGGTACTGCATTACTGAGTTCAGCCACAAACCTGTTATGAGGCAGATATTAAATACTATGGTCATCCTCATGTTACAAGGATGGTTAAGCACCTTGCCAGAGCTCAGAGAGCTGGTAAATGAGCCATGACTCAGCTCAGAGATTTCTGGCATCAGAGTCCAGGCCCGCTCCACTGTGCAGGGCTGCCTCCACCCTGTTCTGGTGTGTCCCAACATCCTATTCACCCCGAAGGCCCTCCACAGGGAGTGGATTTTGTTCAGCCCTTGATACAAGTTGTACATCATCAGTTTATCACCTCTACCCTCAAGAAAGACTGCTCTGTTCGGGTTGCCCTGTTTGCAGAACGAGGCTCCTCTCTCCTTTTGATGGGGATCCTTAGGGATCCCCAAGGGTGCAAACTGTTAAGCAATTGATGACTCCCTCCCCAAAAGGTTGGCGATTCCAAGCCTCTGGTGGGTTGAAACACAGCCCAGTGATCTTGAAAGCCCAGTGGAGCGGGTCTGCACTGCACAGGCAGGGCCTCCAGGAGGCCGAATCCCCTGGACCTGACAGCAGCACCGACCTCCGGCATTGACCTACCCAGAGTCGGTCCTGTTGTACTCGGGACATTGGAAAGGCGGTATTGTCTTTCCAAAGCTGTCAAGGCCCCGCGGGTGGCGTTCATTCTCCTTGGGTCCGCTGGCTTACCAGTCTGCCTCCCCCCTCTTTGCAGGCCCGCCTCGCCTTCTCAGCACTGCCGCCAGCGGAGTGGAAGCCTCGAGTCCCAGTCCCACCTGCTCGCCGAGCTAGACAGCGATCAGCCATTCTTCTCCCTCTCGAAATCCCAAAGAAGCAGCAGCACCGAGGTCCTGGACGATGGGTCTTCCTACACCAGCCAGTCGAGCACCGAGTACTACTGCGTGACCCCGGTCGCCGGCCCCTACTACACCACCCAGACGCTGGACACGCGGGCCCGGGGCCGCCGGAGGTCCAAGAAGCAGCACGCGTCCACTTCCAGCGCGGGCAGCATGCCCAACCTGGCACAGAAGGACGGCCTGCGCAACGGCGTCTGCGCCCCGGGCCTGGAGCAGCCCTGCGCCGGTTACTACATCGCGGGGTACCAGCCCTACGCCGAGGGGGACCTCTACTACAGCGGCGGCGGCTATGTCTACGAGAACGACACCGAGGGCCAGTACAGCGTCAACCCGTCCGCCCGCGCCTCGGCCCACTGCGGGTACGACCGCCCGCGGGACTACAGCAGGTCCTTCCATGAAGACGAGGTGGACCGGGCACCCCACAACCCGTATGCAACTCTCCGGCTGCCGCGGAAGGCGACCGTCAAATCGGAGCACATCACCAAAAACATCCATAAAGCCTTAGTGGCGGAGCACCTGCGTGGCTGGTACCAGCGGGCCTCCGGGCAAAAGGATCCGGGCCACAGCCCGCAGGCCAGCTTTGACTTGGACAGGGCATCACAGAGATGCCTGGGCTTTGCCGGGCTGCACGTACCCTGCTCACCCAGCAGCCGGGCACCGTCCTACTCTTCAGGTAAACAAACAGAATGGAGGCGTCTGACGCCCAAACTGGCATGACCAGTGGGGTCATGTCTGCGCCCAGCTGTGGTGATCCGATGGGGGCCAGAGGAGAACTGTGCCCACGGGGTTTTCAATGACTGATTTTTGAAAGTAGATCTCCAGGCCTTTCTTCCCAGTTGCTTCTGGGTGGACTTGAACTTCCAACCTTTTAATTAACAGCAAAGCTCATGAACATCTGCTCTGAGTCCCTCTCCTCCACTGTTCTCTTTAACCTATGAAAGGGCTCCTGTAGTTGTTTCTGATTAGTTATCTATGGCTCAGCTCTACCTCGCACTATAAATGTGTCCAGTGAAGCAAGTTTTAGATTCAAAACCAACAAAGATTTATTTAGCACCTACTTCATTGGCTGCTCTCATGGGAGCCTTCATATAGTTTCTCTTTTCTGGGCTTTGTCTTCTAAACGTATGCAGGTCACTGAGATGGGTTATTTCAAAGGAGTACAGGAAGCCCTCCAGGCAAGCAGAACACGTTAGAATGATACATCATCTCTGCTTACTACCAAGCATGCAGTTTGTTTGAGTACTCGTAGGCCTATAAAGGCTTATAATAATTCTGAGAGGAGCTGGTATTGATTAAGCATTGTTCCTGGTACTGTTTCAAGCACTTTGCATGTCTTAATTCAGTGATCAGATGGTAGGCAGGGTGGGGTTTTAAAAGCTCATTCATGGGAAAAAATTCCATGATCTTTTCATTCCATTTTCCCATGGGCCTGTGGGACCCCCACAGATCTCTACTCTGTGGCTGATTTAAGGCGTTTTAAAGTCGCGTGTAGCAGAGATGTCGTCTTTAGGCATTGAGTTAGGCTTCAGATTCTACAAGTGTGTGTGGAAGCGTCCCTGTGCCCCCCAGGTGGGCTGAGTACTATAAGGAGAGAAGCGGGGGGGTAGGGAGGACCTACCCACTTAAATCGTTCAGCAAGCAAGCAGGCACTTCCATCGTGTTGAGGAGCCAGTGTCAACCCGGTCCCTGTCTTCCGTGAGCATACAGTCTAATTAGAAGCTGAGAGAAATGTGTGAAAAGTTAGTAATTGTCAAACTTGGTGATAAAAATGGAGTCCCTGGGTGTTGCAAACAGTCAACTTTCTAGACAGCTAACCCAAGGGTTGGAGCTTCAAGGCTACCCATAGGTATTTCTGAAGAAAGGCCTGGTGATCAACTGTAGAAAAATCACCCCTTGAAAACCCCATGCAGCACAGTTGAACTCTGATACAAATCAAGTCACCATGAGTCCGAAGGTTGAAGAGAAGAATGGATAAAAACTTGATGGTAATGAGTCTTGGCCCCTCTCTTCAATATGGCACCCTAGTAAGACCTGGAGCTCTGGTGGCACAGTAGGTTATACATTGAGCTGCAAACCTCAAGGTCAGCAGTTCAAGCCCACCAGCCACTCCATGGGATATAGATGAGGCCGCCTACTTCTATAAAGATACAGAGTCTCAGAAACTGAAAGGGGCAGTTCTACTCTGTCATCAAAGTTCGCTGTCAGTCACAAGCAACTCAAGGGCAGTGAGTTGAGTCAGACTTGGTCATCATCCGTGAAAATGGCCCCTTTAAAAGTTTCATAAGCTTGTTGACAAGAGGAATTTCCATGGAGATTTCTATTTAGGTTCAAGTACTCTTCTGTTTGTGCGGGACTTTGAACTTCCGCTCTCTCACCCCTAATCGTAGCTAACCTATGAAAAGACTCCTGTAGTTATTTCTTATTATTTCCTCCCTCTAAACTTCAGGGCGTTGCATGAGAAACTTTCAGAAGCCAAACCTAAGCAGGATAGGGCTGGTTTCAAGGGGACGGTCAGGAGGACACAGGGCTGGGGCAGTGTCTCTTTCAACAGGGAGAAGCAAGTCTCCCTCAGGAGCCTCAGCATTCCTGGCAACTTCCTTAGTATCTGGGGCAAAGGTAGAAATGACCTTCTACTTCCTGGCTCAGACCTGGCAGGAGCTTTGCTAACACCAGCAGGATCCGCTCCCACGAATGAAAAGAAATGACTTTTGGAAAAAGGGATTTTGAGGGAGAAAGATGGAATCACTGGGACCAAAATTCTCTCTGAAATTTTCCTTATTTCTGTCTACATTTTAGAGCTATAGAAATGTCTCACAACCGACATACATCATCCCATGGGCGGGGAAGATACGTTTTCAGTCACTTGCCAAATTAGTCAGGTATTTTCAGTCCCTGCCAGCCTCCTTGGTGACTCAATTTTTGTTGTAATGAGAGCAGCCACTGACTGGCAGCAGACTGTGGGTCGCATGGCACCCTCAGCACTTCGGGTGCAGTATCCCACTTGATCTTCAAGGCAGGTCCATGTGGCAGCGGCTTCCTAGTCTCCTGACCCTGAGGCACAGGAGTAGTGATGGCTCCTTGGGAGAAAGCTCCCTTTCCCGGTGGAAGAGCGAGGCTCCAATCCTGGCCAGCATGTCATGCCCAGCCACCGCCTGTCTGACAGTCATGGCTGGTGTGTCACTGTGAGGTGGAGCAGCTTCCAGCAGCGCTAGAGATGGGCTCAGAGGGAAAGCTGGACTATGTAATTGCAAAAGTCGGCCAGTGAAAACTTCATGGATCACAATGTTTGGATCCTGGGTACACAGGTTCGAGGGCTGGTCCAACTGGAACGACCAACAACATCATATGTTAGAGCCCCGGCTACTTGCGCTTAGGGTATTTATTTAGCCCTGCCCAAGCCCCACAGCTGGCAAGGGGTGAGGTGGTAGAATTCTCACTCTCGGACTTCTTCATGACCAAACCCCACAGCCTATGACTTAGAATTGGGGAGGTTCTTGGGAACTCAAAATGAGAGCATTACATCTCTTAATTAAACCTTCTTGGCACCCAGGGCCACAGAAGAGTTTTGAAATATGTTTGTCCCACTCTGGTCCCCCGTGCTTTTGTGGGTGAGGAAGAGAAGGGCGGGGGAGCCAGTCCGGGGCTGGGAGCAGGAAGTGGAGACGAACAGGAAGGTTTCAAGAGCAGTGCTGGAGTTGTGAGTCTCGCACGACCATGGCATTGTGGTCAGCTGATACACCCCAGGCATGGAGCAGAACTGGTTTTATGAAGAGGGCAGCAGACACCAAGTGAGGAGGCGTTCACTGGGCTTTGCCCCCAAATTATACCCTTGCCTTGTAGTTCAGTCCCTCTGTACTCCAGAGTCTCCTCTCCGCCCTCCTTTCCTTACCCATCCCTGCCCACTTTCCCCCTTTGGGTGGGGAGGCAAAGATTAAGTCTTGATCCTGTGGTGGCTTCTGCTGAGGTTAATTGAGCAACATTCAAGGAGCAACACTCACATTATCGAATGATCCCCCTGCAAAGGTCTCCAAGCTCGTCGCCATAGCTGGGAAGGTTTTCTCAGCTATACAAGGGCTTTCACCTGTTTGTTTTTCTTGGTTGTCTTTTTTATTTTAATAGCCTTATTGAGCTATACTACACGTTGGTTTGTCTCTTGAATTATTTTCATCCTTCCCGTTTACTGGGTGTTTACTTTGTACCAGCTACAGACAGTGCTGAAGATTTCTATCCACTGCTTGTCCTTCCTGCCTGTGAGCCTCGCTGCTGCGGTGTACTGTCGATTCGGTTCGGCCTCACGGTGACCGTACAGGACAGAGGGGAACTGCCCCGCAGGGTTTCTTAGGCTGTCGCTCTCAGGGGAGCAGATCTCTAGGGCTTCTCTTCTGAGGAGCTCCTGGTGGGCTCACCCTGGCAGCCATTGAGGGCCTAGCCCTGGAGCCACAAGGGCTCTTTAGAGCCGCTCGAGTTAGAGTGTATTGATATGATTCTCCTCACTTTACAGGTAACAGAACGGTGGCTTTAAAGCGCACAAGCTGTCTGCCCCAGGTCACCCAGCTCACCCTGCCAATTGGAATAGAAGCCCTGCTCATTTAAATCCCTGGCTCTTAATTGCTAATTTGCCCATAGCTGATTAGAATGCACCTCTAAATAGACTAATGTTTTTGTTGTTTTCACTCTGATTATTTCTAATGATTCTCTCTCCCTCTTCATCTTCATTTTTAGTGTCTTCTACAAATGCTTCTGGGAACTGGAGGACCCAGATGACCATAGGGCTTTCGGACTACGAGACACCAGCGCACTCTCCCTACTCCAGCTGCTACAGCACCGTGTGCAATCCTCTGCCCTCTCCCAGCAGGTGAGGAAGCGGCGCTCCCACATTCTAGCAGCCTGTCCTCGCTCACAAGAATTCAAGGGTCCAATGTTATCTTATGTACACAGAATCTGTCTAGTTTATGAATTGGCAAGCTACAGGCCACCTGTTTTTATAAATAAATTTTTGTTGGAAAATGGCCATGCTAAGTTATTTATACATTATTGATGGCTGCTTGTGCATTACAAGAGCAGAGCTGAGGAGTTGTGACTGAAGCCAGATGGCCTGTGAAGCCCAAAGTACTCTCAGGCCAGCTTGTTCGCTGGCTCCCGAACTAGCTCGTTTGGGTCTTAGAGTTTCATGTTCATATCTGAACCTGAAACATGCGTATGGTATTATTTTCCCTGTAACACTTGAAGTCGCGTTGTTGATTATGACCATTTTAGACCCTTTTGGAACCTGATAGAAAAAAAAATCCTTTGGCCAAAAATCAATGTCAACGATCTCTGCTTCAGAAGAGGCTGTTGATACCAAGATTCCTAGCGGACAGTTGCTGTCCTTGATTCCAAACATTTGCTGTCTTTTTTGTGTATGACCCTGAATTAAGAAGCAACAGATGCACCCAGCTGTCCTGTTTGTCTGTAAAATCGGTTTTTTTTTTGTAAACATTTAGAGGAAATATTCAAGAGCCGTTTCTTACCATAGGATTAAAAAATTCTTTTTTGTATTTTGAAGAGGTCCTTGCCCCCACCATTGGGTAACAAATTAAGGGCCACGCCTATGGTGCCAAGAAGCGCAGCGTTTTCTACGTGTTTGCTGTTTTCTCACGTCAGGCTGTTTCCGTCCTTTGAGACTTACACAGGCTGTCACTCTAAAGGCCCATTTACTGGTGTGAACAGTTTTAAGCACTCAGTGTTTTAAGCAAGTTGGAATACTCTAAAACCCCGAAAGCCTCCTTTTTTTATCCCCTTCACATTCAGCAGACGTTTTTCTTGGCTTGAATTATTAGGCCAATTGTCTCAACTCAACAAAGGGAGTACCCAAAATAGACTTTTAATGACAATATCCCTCAGAAGACATCAAGAGGCGTAGACTTCTGTAGATAATGCTTGAAAATGAGTTAGGAGTAAACACCAAACTAACTTTGACCCCAGAGCTGAACAGGATCTTTTTAATTCTGTTCCTATATAGACTTGCAAATGATTTTCAAATTTGCATAATGTCAACAATTGCATAGATTAACACAGTCATGATATAAAATATTCAGTGTGTGAGACGGTTCTAATACCTTTTACATCCGTTTTACTGGGTTCAGGAAGTGCTAAACACGTTTAGAGAAAATCTGTTTTGCTAGAGTGTACCCATCTATCTCAGCCCACCCGAGAAGGCTTGACCGGGGAGCCCAAGGTCAAGGGGGCACAGCGTACAGGAAATGAGAAGCTATTTAAAGATCCCTATTGTGTGTGTGGGTGTGTTTGTATGCCCAATATGAACTCATTGTGTGGAAATGTTGGAAAATACAGAGTTAAATAAGTAGAAAATCATTTATCCATAAAGCCTTCAGTTCTCAGTATCCATTTTTAACATCGGCATAATGATATTGCACATATAATTCTGCATCTTATTATGTTGTGGAAACCCAACATCTGAGGTTTTTAACTCAACACTATACTATAAGTATATAAATGAAAAATTCTGACCAACAAATCCGTTGCTATTTAATCAGCTCTGACTTGACCGTTTCCTATTTTTGAACATCTGAGTGCTTTTCAGGCCTTTGTAACTCTTCTCCCCTTTTTTGTTCCCCTTTCCCCCTACATTTTTTTGCTATGTTTTGTTTCTATTAACACCTTTGTATAAAATATTTGTCTGAATTGCAGATTATTTCCATAAGATAAATTCCTATAAATATAATTAGTGTGTTTAATTGAAAAATGTATTTTTAAGCTCATATGTTCCACAAAGATTTGCCAGTTTACCCTCCTAACTACAGGGTTATAGGTGTGCTTATTTCTACTCATTTACTGAAGATTTTATTTTTATTATTGTGCAGTCTGATTAATTTAATTTAACATATCAACTCACCCAGTAATAGTAGCCATTTATAAGCTTTATCAATTTGTTCTAAAATAACATACCATACTTTTTTAAATAAGACATGATTTTTAAAATAAGAGAGAAATTGGATTTCAGAAATAAAACCTCAGAACTGCCCTTGGCTTCAAAATGCTAAGCAACAACAGATCAGTGCTCTTTAAAAATAAATGAAATTCATATTGTGTAAATAACCTTTTCCTCAGAGCATCCAGGTATGTAAATATTGTAGAAAAGCTACAAATATTTACCCAGAATTTTCCCCCTAATGTGATTTGGAGGGGAGCCCTCGTAGTACTGTTGGTAAATATTGGACCACTAACCACAAAGTCGGTGGTTCAAACCCACCAGCCACACTGTGCGAGAACAATGAGGCTATCTGCTCTACTCACAATTTACAGCCTGGAAACCCTCTGTAGGGTCACTGTGAGGCAGAGCCCACAGAGTGGCAGAGGGCCTTGGCAGGGAAATACGTGTATCTGTCAGGGGTGTAGACGTGCCCAAAATAAAATGTTGCCTTTTCTGATGCTGTGTCGTATATCCTACAGTCAAATTCTTGGCTTCATGGCTACCGATTGTGTTTTCAAATAACTTTTTCTTTCACTTCCTGTTTTCCATTTCCCTTCCTCTTCTTTCGTCTAACTCTCCCCACTCCTAGGCGAGACGCAGGGCTTCTGTCCCGGAGAACGGTTATGTCTCCAGAGATGAGATCAGTTTTAAATTCTCTTTTGCTCAGGGTAGCCACCTGCAGTAAGTACGGTCACCCGAATGGGGGTGTGGCTTCTCGCATCGCAGGAGTTTGGCTTGCACTGGCTGCTGTGTGAAGTCGTGAAATCCGATTGGTGTTTCTGTTAGACAAAATTACTAAATAGCCAGAGTTGCATAATGTTTATTTCCCATTCCTTTCCAAAAGGCTTTTTTATCATCTTTACTAAAAAGTTTGAGCTAAAAGAGATGGAAATATCAGATCTATATAAAAAACGTTACTAACTCCTTAACCGGTTTCAATCTCGTGTGATACGTTCTGCTTATTGGAATGGTGTGTGAGAGGTGCTTTCATTGGGGATGTACCATTCAAATATGCTTGTGGGAAAAAATCTGTCTATATATGCTCGTGGTTTGAAATGTGATGCTGCTTGCTCAGTTATTCCCAGTGAGGCATACACCCTAGAGATGAAATGCAACCCAAGGGGCTCCTGTCCCCCTCTAAGAGCATCCTCTTGCCCCTGAGGTAAGCATCTGATAAAGTCTTTTAATTTGAAGAATCGATGAAAAGTACAGCCAAAGGAATCTTATTAAAAAGTTAAAGAATCTGATTCACACGAATAGAAAAGGGGCGTCTGCCGGAGATTTATTTGGTCAGGGAGAGAGGAACCTGCCCCAAGGGTGCTGTTGATTCAAGGAGAATGCACAAAACTGAATTAGGCCCAAACCGGAGGACTGAATTAGGTAGGGAACTGGTCACCTCTCCGACAGCACTAAACCGATAGACGCTGTGTCAGCTTTTTTCTGTCAGAGAGAAGATACTTGCATTTCTTCCACACCCCCCAAATCGGCGAATTAATCTTGTAGTTTCACACAAAGTGGATTCTGATCAATGGTCAATGGTACGTGGACAAAGGCATATCTCCCCAGAAAGTTAAATAGTCCTCCCGTGACTCTGTGAGACAGTGATCCCAGGTGATGTTGAAAGGGCAACCGCCATCCGGTGGCTTGAGTTCCAGACTCTTGCTAGTTTTTCTTAACAGTGCTTTCTACTAACATAATAGTCTTTGTACTGGGGGACCACAGTGACCACCGTAGTAACATTTCTGGTTGCCTTCACAGGCAGTATACGGAGCCCAGTCAACTGGACGGCGCGGACGGACACCGGCTGTCGGACAGCCTGGGCAGTGCTGAGCAGAGGCTCTTTTGGCATGAAGATTCCAAGCCCGGAACATTAGTCTGAAGTGCAGGCGGGCCTCTTGACCAAGCACTGCGTTCTCACACGAGTGTGCCTTGCAAAATGTGTACGTCTTCCCAGAAGGCTCTTGGCATCGAAGGTTGAAGAGAAGTCTGCGGCTGCCCTGGAAGTGAGTTCCACACCTCGCAGGACGAAACCCCCAAAGACCATGGGCCTTTCGCAGTCCGGGCACACGAACCCCCCAGAGCTGAGTCTGACCACACCTGGCACCAGTGCCACGAGAGGACTTAGCTTGAAGCCTTTATCAATAGCAAGCACTTTTTAAGGGAATCAAAATTGTTGACGGCACACCTCAAGTGGCCAAGGTCTCCACGAGGAAAGGACGGAAGGGGCGATTTCAGAGCACAATGCAGAATGGTGGGGGGAGGGAGACCAGAAGCTGCGAAGTCATTGCTCACGATCACAAGGGTGTGTTCGTGAGCTGACAGAGAAGAGTGTGCTACTTCTACGTGAACACAGACACTTTCGACAGTATTGGAAAATTACTTGAAGAGAGGCTGGATTTTCATGAAGTCCTGAATGAGTGTAAATGTTGTTAGGCTGTTATAAAGAGTAATGTTTTTCATAAGCACCGTAAAATGGGTTCTGGAAAGACTTATTGCTGTAGCATCTTGTAATATAACTTTTGTGATAGCAGATTGGGGGAAATGAATGAATAATTGACAAACCTCGCTTGGAGAATTCCCTAAGGTACAAGATCCCTGAACCCCCCCCCCCCAGCTGATTGCATATCAACTGTTATTATTCAAGCTGGTAACTCTCCCACTTGGCTGTGGCTTGAAATGGCAGATTTGATGTGGATAATTTTTTTATAATCAGAAGTTTGGAAAGTTCTTTTAAGGTGATAGAGTCAGAACCCGAAACAAACACAAGCAAAAAAGTACATTCGTTTAAATGAACTGCGTGCCTTAAAATGGTGAACATTAGAACATGAAACATATTGTTTGGGTACCACTTGTAGTTCTGTCACAAAAAGATTAGTCAGAAAAAATTGTAAAGTGCTACAAGCTGCGATAGAATTCATTCTGAGGCTCAAACTACCTCGTGCTTTCTTTAGAGGAACTAATTAGCTATGGTTCACTATAGGACTTTTTAAAAATTATTTCCATATTCCAAATTGATTATTTTTTGTTACCTTTACTCTGCTTCAGAATTCCATTGAAGGTGCTCATTTTTCCCTCCTTTGATACAGATTTCTTGTTCATGTTGTGAATAGAAATGTTTCTGAACTGCTTTTTTGGAACATTTTCTATCTAGATTCCAAAGCATGTAATATATACATAAAGATGATTTTTGTTAAACTGGTCCTTAGTCATTTGTATCATTAGAAAGGAAGTTTGAGGCAAAAACTTGGCGGGTGGAGGAAGACATGCAACAAAATAATAACTTGTTCCCTTTTGCATATTTGCATAGCCTTCTAGAAACAGAAATGGCCCTTTGCATACTCTTTGACTGTTCTGACTTTTTAAGACCTGGTTTTTGGGTTGTTTTTTTTTTACATAGGTCAGTAAACTAAAGGTGTGCTACTGAAAGCAGTTATGTATCCTTCCACTTCTATGCTGAGCTCGTACGAGGCAGCTGAAAGGGCTCGCTTTCAACAGTAATCACGTTTGGGCAAGACTTCATCTTTTTAGTTACAGTATTACTATATTTTATTGATTCCAAGATGCACATTTTCATCTATTTACATCTCTGACATTGGAATCTATCTTTTGATTGATGGTGTGTCCTAGCCGAATTGGCAGAGTGGTTTTTGTTGTGTGTTTTTTTTTTTTCCTTTCCTTAGCAATACATGAAAGAATGCTGTGTCTTGCAATAAAGTTGTCTTGGAATTGATGAAATATGGTAGTTGGTTGCCTTGTTGAGGATGACTGATGTGAGCTTTCAGGCTTCCTGATCATGAGAACGTAGTTTGCTTGTACCCCAGAAACCACAGGAGTTCCGCTGACTGTCAAACACGGTCTTTAAAACCCAGGAACACAGTTCACCTGCCATTTTTATCCTGAGCAATGGGGAGGCAGGGAAGGAATGTGAAAAACGGAAAGACATTAGTATTAATATTTCATTGCATGTAACTTGCATGAAGATATATTTTCCTGTTTGAGAAATGGCATGCTCAGAATTGCCAGCATACTTCTAAAGGACAAATAGAATTTGACTCCCGGAGAGGAAAATGGATGTACAACAGCCCCATGAATGATCCGTCCCCTCCCATCTCAAGGATACACTTTCAGTACTGTCATGTTTTCCATGAAGGTACACCACTCAGGCTGGGCTCCACGCAGCAACGCCTACACACCCTGTCTGCGGCATGGATTCCTTTGTTCATAACGAGTGAACCTTCTCATCATTTCCATTCGGGTTATTTCATTTCCTCTCCGTTATGTTTTGAAAAACATCTCTCAACCACATTACTGATTAGTGTGCCTCTTCAAAACCACAAGTGGAAAGGTTACATTTTTCAACCTGTAGACTTCCTTTTTTTTAATTACAAAATGTATGCCATATTTTTACATGAATGCCTTCTGCATTCTGTGTTTGTTTGCTATCCATGCCCCCGCTTCCAATGAGTGCTTTTCATAAGTTCCCGTGCATAGCATGTTTATGAAAATATCTCATTGGCCAGGAGGACGTGGTTGACAAGGATACATACAATGTTGTGTTATTTGTGTGAAATACTCATCAAAAAATTTATATTCAAACATAAAACAAATATATAACAAAAACCATCAAAACCTGTAAGTCTAATCTTTTCTAATATAACACATTCTTTACTGTATATTCAGATTTTTTTCTCTACATATAGTAATTAATTTTTTAAAAGCACAACATTGCACTTCAAAGACGGTTTTACAGCTATTTTTTATTCACCTAACCACTTTAGTCCAACTTGTTTTAATATATCTTGATCTACCTTATAGAGATGTATGTTTTACATGGTGGAGTTTAAAAACATGTATTTGAGACAATTCTTCAAAATTCTTCCATGGACCCATGAAAGTTTGACTGTCATCACCAATAAAGATACCAGAAGTGTCTGGAATCTATTAGCTTGGCCTGTTCTTAGGAACAATGGTTCAGACTAAAGAGTTTCCCTAAATGTCCGTCTTCAAGAGGCTTCGGAATCCGAGTGGCTCCCTTTGTTCCACAAAGCAGAGACGTTTGGATTATTCTCTAGACCTGAGAGAGTTCACCTCAGTGGTAAAGGACCAATTTGAGGTTTGGGCTTGTTTTCATTCAAACAAAAAACCCACGGATAACCTTGAGAAGAATGGAAATTCCAGAACGTGTGCTCATTTGGAACTTATATGTGGATCCAGAGCAAGGGACTACTGCATGGTTGAAAATCAGGAAAGGTGTGTGTCAAGGTGATTGCCTCACACCACACTTATTCAGTCTGTATGCTGAGCGAATAATCAGAGTAGCTGGCCTATATGAAGAAGAATGTGTTGTCAGGATTGGAAGAAGGCTTATTAACAACCTGCAATATTCAGATGACCCAGACTTCCTTGCTAAAAGTGAGAACTTGAGGCATTTGCTGATGGAGATCAAGGATTGCACCCGTCAGGATGGATTACAACTTGGTACCAAGAAGACCAAAATCCTCACAGCTGGACCAAATGGAGACAAGGTTGACATTGTCCAGGATTGTGTCTTGCTTGGATCCACAACCAATGCTCAGGGAAGCAGCAGTCAAGAGATCAAAGACAAGTTGCGTTGGGTAAATCTGCTGCACAAGACCTCTCTAGAGTATTGAAAAGCAAAGATGTTACTTTGAGCACTAAGGCGCACCTGACCCAAGCCACGGTATTTTCCATTCCCTCATATGCATATGGTAGTTGGACACTGAATAAGGAAGACTGTAGAAGAATTGATGCATTTTCATTCTGATGCGGAAGAAGAATATAGAAAGTATCATGGGGCGCTGAAAGGTCAAACCAATCTGTCTTAGAAGAAGTACAACCAGCATCCTTTTTAGAGGCAAGGATGGCAAGACTTCATTTCACATCGTTTGGACATGTTGTCAGGAAAGACCAGTTCCTGGAGAAGGACATCATGCTTGATAAAGTGGAGGGGGCGTTAAAAGAAGGACCGTAAGGAGGCGGATTGACACCGTGGCTGCAACAACGGGCTCACGCACGGGCCCCATTGCGAAGGTGCTGACAGTGGGCTGTGTTCCCTTCTGTTGTGCACGGGCTGTTGTGGATCAAAAGGGACTCCATGGCAGCGAAAAACTACAGGAGGACTCCATTGTGGGCCGAGAATTTTGGAAAGTAATATAAAAACAAGTGAATCACAAGAAACACTGCGGTAAAACTTACAAAAATGGAACTTAAACATGCTCTCAAGTTGAATTAAAATTTCTCCAAACACCAGCTCTCACTTTGTGTATATAAACCTTGCCCGAAGGCTCAGCAATGCAGACCACCTTTACATA